TTCTTTTCCCTTCTCATCCAGATAGCAATTTAAATAGCATTTCACGTAAATAGTTCACAAGTGTGTTAGTTTTATGAGGTACAAAATCAGAAAAGTGTTGGTTCTAAATATTAATGATAAATTTTTTTTTTTTTTTTTAGAGTTTTTTGACAGAGTCTCACTGTCGCCCAGGGTGCAGTGGCACAATCTTGGCTCACTACAACCTCCACCTCCCAGGTTCAAGCAATTCTCTTGCCTCAGGCTCCCCAGTAACTGGGATAACAGGCGTGTGCCACCGCACCCAGCTAATTTTTGTATTTTTAGTAAAGACGGGGCTTCGTCATATTGGCAAGGCTGGTCTTGAACTGCTGACCTCAGGTGATCTGCCTGCCTCGGCCTCTCCAAGTGCTGGTATTACAGGCGTGCGCCACAGCATGTGACCTTTTCGTGTGCTTCTGACAGTGGCACTGGCCTGGCCCAGCAGCCTTCCTTTCTGGTGTCCTCCCTAAGGTAACACTCATCGTTTCCTGCTACCTGAGGTGGCCGTGAACTGCAGCTCAAGCCTGCCTGGTGCAGCTCCGACAAGCAAGCCCTTCTGAGGAATGAGAGCCTGGGGGTCAGGTGACTACCAAGCCCCATTTCCTTTCCCAGCAGGCAAGTGACCCAGCTTTCTTCGCACAGGATGTCCTCTAGGGCCACAGGATATGCACTTTGAGCTGCTCATTTATTTCTGTTCTCTGTCCTACCCGACATGCCCACATGTGTCCCGGCCAGGCCTTTGTTCTGGAATCGGTGGGAACGCAGCTGCAAGGACTGGGAGCCAGCTTCCACGCGTGACTTCCAGCCGGCCTGCGGGCGATGCGGCTGGTGGGCACACAGCCGCTGCGGTCTTTCCCTCCCCGCACGGTGCCTCTGGATTGTCAGGGGCCAGCCATGCTCCCAACAATGCAACACACCAAGGGAGCGGTTAGAGAGAGCGCTGGAGGTGCCTCGGAGGCTTCTCAGAACAAAGAGGAGCTGGCCTCCTGCTCCCTGTCATCTCCTGGGGACAATTTTCAGGCTAAAGAGGAGGGACCCTACTGAGTGACCTCGGGATTGTTGAAACATCTGAAAGGTTTCGGCGTGGGTGCTGCAGACCCCACGCATGCCATGGGCTCCCGGGTCAGCTGTGCTGCAGGACAGAGCCAGGCAGGGCTGGAAGGAGGGCTGCCAGGACCACAGCATCGCCCTGACTTGGAGTATCTCCAATTTGAAGAGCCCACTTCTCTTCCAGAGGCTACTGGGGCTTTGTGTGAAGAGTGGCTGCTTCTCCAACTTGACTGCCTAAGACATTTACTCAAGTGACAGCAGTTGGTGGCTGAGCCAGGATATTATGGAGGACTAAAAAAAGCACAAACTTTAAAAAAAAAAAAAGATGCATTCTTTAAACAGTCTTGCACACACCCAGGCAAAAGCTAGATGTATAATACTTTGCACCCACACCATCCACCTGAAAAATACAGTACAATGGCGTAAGAAACACACTATTTCTTTGAAAAACGTTTATTTAGCGTAAAACAGACCCATACCCTTCATGGGTCAGATGTTACCACCTTTAAAAAAATGTTTTTTAACTCTGCTTCCTGTCCTACTGAAAAAAATTTTTTGAAAGGGTTAAGAAGAGTCTATCATTGCTGGTCAAAATCGGCCTGAAGATGGCCGCCAGGGGCAAAGGCCTGAAGGCATCACCTGGGCAGGCCTGGAAGCCCACGGGGAGCGGCACCCTCAAGCCCAGGGGCGGGAGCGCCCCCTCCCTGCCCTCCAGGGAGGCTGCATGCAGACCTCCACGGTGCAGCCTCCAGTTTAGTCAGCCTCGAGTTCGGGCTGCTCCTGCGCCTGGTACTTTATGTGTATGATACATGTGTATCCATCCTGCTTCCCTGCCTTCAAGGGAAGACTTAACTCTTGGAAAGAAAACCTGCCTGGAGATGGCTTCACGCAGCAAGTCACCAGAGTACTCAAGTCAACTGCAAACGAGTGGTTACAAAATGGGAGCTTTAAACAAAGTGCTCTCCTAGAACCGATGTTCTCACAGTCAGGAGTGGGAGGCTGGGGCTGCTGTGCGGGCCTGCGGCTCCATGGCGCCTTTCTGCAAAGGCTCGGGTCCGCTTTCCAGACTGCAGGCCGCTGTGTGTGCTGCGGAGGATGCCACAGTGTTAAGGCTGACCAGGACCAGGAGGTGACGCTGGGCTCTCCTGCTACACCCAGCCACTTGTAGCAGATTCCTAGGCCACACTCCTTCTGAGCCACTTTGCAAACTGCTTCCCCGTTGTGGGGCCAGCAGGAGCTACAAGGGCCAAAGGCGGCTCTGCCGAGCCTGGACTGGTTTTGTGGCCTTCGATAGGAGAGGTCTGGGACAGGCCACACCGCAGTGAAGGTCTTTTCCCACATCCAATTTTATGGGAAGACTGGGGTTTGAAGATGGAATCTAGGAACCCTCCTCTCCCCTTTTTTAAGTAAAGAGAAAAGGAGACCTTTGCCTCACGTGAGAGCAGGTGGAGGAGAATCAGAGCTATGGCGGCCACTAGCAGCGTACTTCCTGGATGTGCACGGGAGAGAGATGGCAGCTTCCGGACAGGGATGACACAGGTTCTTTGCTCCTTTGCAGTTGGGATGAATGTTCAAGTTGAGGCACAGTGTGGTTCCCATGGAAAGCCCAAGGTCAGCACGGCCCCTCGGGCTGCTCCGCTACGGGATGCCTTGGAGGCGCCAGGCCTCTGCTCCCAGCTGGCCCCAGCCCAGGGAGGCGTAAGGCGGCTGGAGCACCCCTAGGGGCAGGTGGGTCTAGCCCGGGGGGCTCCTGGCTGGACTATGCGCTAACTGCTTTGATGGACAAGGACCCCACCCCCGATTAGCTCAGTGGCTTGATGAGCTGTACACAGCCAGGCTGGTGCAGAACCGTGAGAAAGGAACGGTTTGGCTATAGGAGCTAGTGATTCGGGGCTTGCCACCCTTTATGGCCCCATGAAGATCCGGCACAAGGCAGGTGCTCGTCGCCCTTGGGAGGGAGGGAGGGCGGGAGTCTCTTATCTGCTCGAGAGAGGCCAGCCTGCATCCCAGCATCCACTACAGCTCTCGCGTTTCCGTCTGGGTGAATCTTAGGCTGGGAGGAGGGACTTCACCAGCCACGATTCCAGGGTCCCACCCTGCACCCTCTTGGCCAGTGTGGACGAGGGCCCATCCTGAAACCTTCTTTAACACACGTGTGGAGGAAGGTGATGCCCTGGCACCCAAACTGAGAAAACGGTGAGTTCTGCAGAGCCAGAATTCTCATCGGGAGGGTGAGAGTGGCAGCTCTGCTGTTAGCTTGGTCCAAAACAGAACGGAGATGCCCCCTCATCACGTGAGCGGTCCAGACCAGGGTGAGGCAGGCGCCAGGTGCAGGAGGAGACAGAAAGCTGTGAGCAGGACCCAACGGGGGTCCTGGGCAGCTCCCTGATGCCAGCCAGGCCAGTGATACGAAGAGAAAGGCTAATAAATAGATGCACGTGGCGAGTGCTGGGCAGCCCCGGACCAGGCTGCGTGGGACGCAGCAGACGCCGCTGTGGCTCCCGCACCCGGGCATCAAGTGATCAGTGTCTCTAGTAAAGATATACAAACCAAGTTACTTCTTTTCAAGTATTAAAAAAATAAGTTAATTGACAAAAAGGGTTTGAAGCGGCTGAGCGTCCTGCCAGGTTGTCAGCTTCATTTCAATGTGCAAACACAGGAAAAACACCGAGGAAGAGGCCGCCTCCTGCCCCGGCATCAATGTGGAACAGGGACAATGCCTGTCTGCCAACTGGGGGCGCAGAATGTAGGGCCTCATCCTGTCCCCCAAAGTCAGCATTTTCCAGTGTCAAAATGGTGGTGAACTACAAGCAAAATGCAGCAACCCACAGGCCTCGGGCCGCAGCCAGCGAGAGGCCCCGGCATTTGGCCACTTAGGGTCCAGTGTGTGGTGTTCGGCGGGAGAGCGGACCCCGCCTGTGTCCTCCTAATTTGCATAATCAATTCCGGAGCCTGCCCACACCTCCGTGTCTCCTGTGATGCTGGGGTGGGCATGACTGGACACTTCCCCATCCCGGGTCTCAATCGCACCCTGCTTTCGTGGGGTACTGTGTACGTCTCTTTGGTGGTGCTCCAGGGAGCATGAAGAAGACAGTGCCCCTCGCAGGCTGTGGTGGCGCACTGTGGTTCTGACGGGAGCAGCTTCCCTCTCTTACCAAATGTGCCAGTGGAAGAAAGGGGCACAGCCGGCACATCCTCAGGGGGCGTGCGGGGTGGTCCCCTGCGTCATGCCATACGCACCATGCTCCTCCTCTGAGCGGCAGGTCCAGGTGGGCCTCCTCCCAGGAGGTGGCGCCATCTCAGATAACCACTGTCCCCTGGGGCTCCCCACTGCACGCGGGACTCGACCACTTTCCAAGCAGCACACGGGCATCTGAGCGTAAACTCCAAGGAGGTGCCAGGCCTCCTCAGATCGCGGCTCCAGGTGGTTTGGAGGCCACTACCCGGCCAGGCGGATGCCAACAGAAAATGGAGCGTTGGGTGTGAGCTCAGGACCAGTTAAGGCTGAAGCCCTTGGACAGCATGGCAGCCTCCAGGTCCTTGTCCTCCTCTCTCTCCCGGAGCCGCTGCTCCTCCAGCAGCGCCACCAGTGAGTCTCTCTGCTCCACCACCTCCAGCATCTCATTGAGAATCTGCTTCTCTTCAGACAGCTCCTCCTCAGTCTTAAGGTGATCTTGAAGGAGAAGAAGGCATGAGGTGAGGGGCCTGGAGGTGGCACCCACCCTGGGCTCCATGGGTGCCTCACCCCACTCACCTTCCACTGCCATGCGTTCCCGGAGCTCCTGCTGCAGTCGGCTCTGCCGGTCTTCCAGCTCCAGCTCCCGGGCACTGAGGAGGGAGGGCAGGAGGGAGATAAGCCACAGTGACTGGGGACCACCCCTCACCCCCAAATCCGGAAGGACCTCCATGCCTGCTGTGACAAGCATGGCACCGACACCCCCTACCCAAGGCCACTCACAAGATCATCAGCTCCGACTCGTAGCGCACCATGGCGTTCTTCTCCTGCACTAGCTTGAACCACTCCTGCATCAGCTTGGGGTCGTCCTTCTTGCCCATGCCTGCCGAGGGAACATTCGTGTCGGGTGCAGGGAGTGCCGTGCCCACCCTGGCCCGCAGGAATCACACGGGGCAAATGTGCAAAGAGGGCCGAGCAAGATGCTGCCGGAACTTCCACTCCCAAGCCAGGCCCAAGGTTTGCCTGCAGCCCTGGCGCCCCGGCGACCCCTCCCCGGGGCCTGCGCTTCCCTGTGTCCTGCCATCCCTGCTCCCCCGTCAGCGACCTCGCCAGTGGGGACCTTGCCCTCCCCGGGGCTGGTTTCTGCCTCTCCTGCTCCCTGTGCTCTCCTAGGATGACTTATGTCGCTTTCCCTCTTTCTTCCCACTCAATGTTTATTTAGCACTTGCCATGTGCTAGGTCTCCTTGGAGGAAACCACTCTGGGAAACAATGCAAAGTGAATTTGTAAACTGCACCCCGCCCTCAGGTCATGCTCATTAACTCAGCTCTTTCTTGGACCACTCCCCTCTCCAGGGGCTACCAGAATAGATGCCTTGTCATTTGTTTACCTCCTGACCAGGCAGAGAAGAAACTACCCCTTAACTTGTGGCCTATCAAGCTTCCGGATGCCTCCCGCGGGATCCCTCGTGGTCGACTTAGGGATCTCAGGATGGCCACCGGGTTTCTCACCAAGAGCAGAGAAACACTAGCAGCCCCTGGGGATGGAAGGAGGTGGCCACGCCCTGCCCTGGTCCATCCAATAGAATGCCTGTGGCTGGTGGCTGCCTGCTAGCTCAGGCTGCCTGAACCAACAGGTGCCCATACCAAACCTCCCCGGGGGCGGCCTGACCGCTGGCTTCACTGTGGCAGGAGGACAGAAGGAAGAAGTCTCCAAAGGACCAGGCCACCCAAGGAGGGAACAAGGTCCTTTTCCTTGGAGCACGGAAGTTCATGGTAAAAGTGTGGTCCCGCCTAAAATACATGCTGTGTCAGTGGCTCTCAATATTTTTGGATTACAAACCACTTTGAGAATCTCATAAAAGCTAGGGACTCTCTTCCTAGAAAAATGCTTATGTGTGCAGAGCAAACCATTTGATGCAGAGTTCCAGGCTGCTCCTGGGCTTCCTGCGGCCCATCCGTGGGCCTCAGGTTAAGGGGCACTAGACGGGGACATCTTTCAGAGGCCCCTGCACTCTCTGCGTCGCTTGGCAGAGTGTGTTCTAGGCCAGTTAAGACAAGCCCAGGAGTGTGAGGAACACAGCCTCTGAAGGGCCAGCCACAGCCCGAGCCCTCCCTCACTGCTAGCTGCCTTTCTGGCACATGGTACACAGACACATCTCTTATCTGCAGTGGTGTCTGCTAGACAGTTAGTCTCCACCCAGTGGCCACACCGAGGAGGCAGAAATGCACTATGTTCAACAAGCAGGGGTTAGTGTCTGTACCGTGCCCTAGTGCCCATGCGGTTCTGCTCCCAAGGGGGTTCCTGCCCCTGAGCCTCATCTGAAGGACGAAACCCCCCGGCCTGTCCAGCCCGCGACTGTGGAGTGCCTGCCTGAGGGTCAGGGGACCAGCGCTCTCCTCACCCAATCCAATAGGCTTGGGTCTTGGCTTTTAAGCCAGTCCCCACTCAGTTCCATGCACTGCTTTCGGAGCGTCTCTGCACAATGTGCCCACACAGCCGTGGAGGAGGGGCCCCGGCATGCAAGCTGTCCAGTGCGCCCGGCCGCGGCGGCACCAGGGAGACTCTCCCGCTGCCCACCTCCCCGCGAAGACACAGAAAATGCCACCGGAGACGTGCGGACAGCGCTCACTAGCTACGGCGAGCTCGCCCACGGCCGCCTGGCAGGGGCTGTGGTGTGTGGGCGAGAGTCGGGTGAGCGCTGTGGATGGCAGGTAAGAGTTAGCAGGGTTAGTCATGGCCACACCCCCCACATGCCTTTCAACGACAATCTTATCACCACGACAGACTTCAAATCAGACAAACTTAAAAAACACACACTCGGCAAGACACGAGGTAGAGAGGTTTGCTTTCAGTGGTGGTTTGGAAAGGGGCCCGAGGGCGCTTGTGTAGACCAGTCTTTGTAAGGACAGTATTCCTTGACGCTCCCATCCAAATCGCTGCACACAGGCGGGAGGCTCCTCACCTGCTTCCCTGCCCCTCTATCTGGATCTGAGACTTAAAGGCCCCAGCCATGAAAGGCCAGCCAATGCTGCAGCCCTGAAGGGCCCAGACCTGGAGGCTCTCTGGCTTCACTCTGCACCCTGGTCCTCCCCATAGACAGTCAAAGGGATACTGTACCTTTAGAAACTGCCACAGACTCATGACATTTTGTAACAGGACCATTGAGGGTCAGAGAGAGAGAGAGAGAGAGAGAAAGAGAGAGGTAGGTGGGTTCTGGCTCTGTGTTTGACTACTGTGGCTACACCCCCTCCGAGGTAGCGGGGATGGGGTTGGCGAGGTTACGTTACCTTCCTGGACACAGCAAGGGCAGAAGGAGAGAGGTCTACGTCGTGGAGTCCCGCCACTGGGCTCAACTTCAAAAGGACCAAACAAGGAAGAGGAGGAGGAGACGGAGAAAGACAAGAAGGAAGAGGAGAAGAGGAGCAGGAATTTGGAAGTGGAGAGGGACAGGGAGAAGGTGGAATAAAAACAAGCAGAGGACAAAAAGCATAAAAAGTGAGAAAGGAACAACAGGAGGAAAAGAAAAAAATACAAGAAATGGAGAAGCAGAAACAAGGGAAACAAAGTCTACAAATGAATTAAGTCCTTTTTTCAGCATGGAACTGAACGAGAGCAGACCCAGCTCCGGGCAGCATCACAGACGGGGCGTGGGCTCAGAGCAGCGGTGTGAGTTCCTCCAAGAGGGATGACGTGTTCCCTACATGATGGCAGCAGTCGGGCCACAGGGCCCTCCCGCCTCTACTCCTTATCAGGAGGGCAGTGGCATCTGGGTTGTCATACAGTGGCCTCTGGGGCCTTGGGCCCCCTCCTCGAAGCCCCTGGATAGGTCTGCCTGGCTCTCAGACAGGCTGCATTCAGTAAGTGGCCAACACGGCTTCCAGGCTTGCAAGTGACAACCTGGGGTCACCTCCCAGACCCACGTGGAATCCTCTAAGATGTCACCACAGGTATGTGCTTGAGGCAAAGCTGGCCTTGACAAGTGCAGGGCAAGGGGGGCCTCTGAGTCTGTGGGGGCAGCACCCCATCCTGCGATGGGCCTCCAGGACGCTCACACCTGCGCTGCTTCAAATTCTGAGCCAGAACAATTTTGGGGAAACGTACACACACAGAGGTGACTTCCACCCGTCCGTGTCACTGTCCCCTCTCTCCCCCAGGCACGGGGAGAGCCAGCCACCCCCTTCTTCCTTCTGGTCCTTCTATGGCTGTGCGGGGACCTCATGCTGCAGCTGGGGGCTGCCACACTCTGGACTGTGAGACCAAAGGGGTGGGCTGACAGGACATGCCGAAACTTACAGGAACGATGCTGGGAGGAGTGCTGGCGGGGCACCGAGAGCCAGTGTGCACACACATCTCTAGATCTGGGGTCTCATGCCTACTCAAGGATGAGGGAGAGGAGTTTGGCAAGGGACCATCACAGAACCACAGAGCACACACAGGGACAACAGAGCCCAGGAAGACACGGGGCCTCGGCCCACGGGGAGGGCAGTGTGTGGTTTACAGAGAACAGGGTTGAAGAAATGGCCTTGACTCAACAGAAGGCCAACAGGACAAACGGCTGGCTGGGAGGCCCCTCTGCGGTGCCGCTGCATGAATACAGGTGTTTTCTGCCTTTGAACCCTTCCAGTGTGGTGCACAGTGCTGTGGGCACACTGAATCTGCTATTGGGTACAACTTCGAAAGCAAAGCCAGGGACAGCGTGCATGCGTGTGAAATGCTGACTGTACCCAGTGCGCTCAATACACACGGCACAGCCAGCCCAACGCATGGGTGCGAGGGAGGGTTTCTTTCCGCAACAATATTCTCTGCCTTACAGCCGACCTACAGTCAACCTCGGCTGGAAAGTGTAGTCTGCGCTGAGGCTTGGAACACCTGGATGAATCCCATCAAATACGTCCGTGCACACTCCCTGCCACCTCCTGCGACTGGTGTCACAGGTGAATAGGCCACGCTGTGGAGTGGAACAGCGCCTATGTGATACACGTCCACAACACATCCAAAAGGAAGGGGCAGGCGCCTGCACGGGTATACATTACAACATGTGTTTCTGCTTTCTGGACAGCACAAAATACAGCTTTCAGCTGTTTTTCTGTAGGCCACATCCGCATACGCCCTTCCCAATACAGAGGACAATATAACAGAGTACTGGGAACAGAAATTATGAAATGAAATTAGGGAAAGGGAGCATCAGGTAAAGCAAGCATTTAAAGAAACCAAAAAGGCTTTCTCCTAGCAAGAGGCGGAAGCGCGTGTCAGTGGCGGTGAGTCCACGCTGCACTGATTACCTTCGGACTTCCCTGTTCGCTCCACCACTTCCACAACGAACGAGGCTACTTTTATAACCAGAAAAAACGCCCTATCAATACAATTTTCAAAAGAAGAAGTGGAAGGGAAAAACCAATCAAACAAGGGGAGTTCCACCCGACTGGAACGCGACCTAAGCGTGCATGGGGCCGGGGTGGGGGGTTATAGGAAATGCTTTGCCTTTTAGGGGGATGTAAGAAACAGAAGATTTGGTTCACTGATTCTAAGAACAAAGATGCTGTCAAGCTTATGGCAAATGGAAGTTTTTTGGTTTTTCTTAACGTCAGGGTAACGGGTTTCCATCTGTTGCTAACAGGTGCTACAATTTACCACTTCTCAAAGCACTCTTGCGTGCCCTGGACGCCGGCCACCCCTCCCGAGCTCCCGAGCAGTGAGCGGGTCCTGGTCAGAGGACCCCTCCTCCCTGTATAGCACTCTGCTGAGTACCCAACACTCGTGGGCACATCTGCTCCATCCTTCCCTCTGAAGCAGCAATTCCTTTGGACGTGTGACCTGGGGTTGGCTGTTTAGTGCCACTCGCTTGACCCGTGGCGGGCAGGCAGTGCCTGTCACCAGATTT